TGCATGCATACATACATACATACCTGCGTACATGCATACATACATGCATACATACATACATACATACATACATACATACATACATGCATACATGCATACATGCATACATGCATTCATCCATTCATGCAACCATACATTCATAAAGACATCCGTACATACATACATCTGTACATACATACATGCATTCATCCATTCATACATCCAGAGACTCATACAAACATCCGTACATACATGCATGCATCCATCCATTCATACATCCAGACATTCACACGCTCATACATTTATTCATACATACGGGCATGCACACAGGATGCACAGACACACACGCGTACGTGCATACATCGGTGCACCCATACGAACATATATTTACATAATATGTATATAGAGATACATATAGATACAAGTGTTGTGTAAATGCAGATCTAGATCTGTTTATTTATGTACATGCACTGTTACATGCACATATTTCAAGATGCCTATCTACAGCACTGTTTTTTTTGTTGATCTTGTAGGTTCATTCATACAGATATGTCATCATGGGTGAGTCTAGCCTTCTCCTTGCCAGGAAGGCCTTCCACCATGGGACTTCCGTCTGCCAAACGTTTTGCGGCTGGGCATCCGTGGGACATTTTTGCTTTAGGATTAAGAAGTTCAAGAAAGGGTTGAACTGTCAGTTGTCACATGCCCCTGGTCCCTATATGATGTTCATTGTAAAATGGTCCCATCGAAACCTTAGTCCAATTATTAAAATTCAAAGGCCCCTGTACTAGGATGTTACCATTGCCCAGAGCCATGAGTCGGGAAGCCTACCGGTGTCCTGGTGTCCCCTGAAAAGGCTGTGAGAATGCTGGGGCGGAGTCAGGGATGAAATTCTGCCCTTCCGGATTCATTCCAGCCCTGTTTTGTTCGATGGAAGGGTTTGGGCCTGGGCATTTGCGGCTAAACCGTTTATTTCTGACAAAGCCCTGTTCAGCAGGCAATTAGATTAATTGCCACCATTAGCAGAAGCGAAAAGAAGCAACATACAAACTTTCGAAAAACATCACATCATAGAGGATGACGCAAAACTGGACGGGTCTTGTACGCGTCCCGGCGAAATCGCATGCCTCGCGGGGGACCTCGTGGTGCTTCCGCAGCGCAGCGTTGCCCTCAGGCTCTAAAATCCTAACCCCTGCAGCAGGAGCCCTGAGCTCCACTTTGAGACGTCGTATTAGATGTTATAAGGGTTTAAGGTTTAGGGGTTTAGGGTTTAGTGGTTTAGGGTTTAGTGTTTAGTTTAGCAGGGTTATATTGTATTCCACCGACTGCCGATGGTATTCCGAGGTGGCAGTTATAAGTGGGGTTATATGTAGGGTAACTATAACTATGACCTGTATTAGGAGACTTACAACGCCACCTATAACTACCCATGGACCTCCATGTAGGAGTTTTGGTACACCGCACTGCAACCCTGCTATTCGGAGGCCCACGTCTCAACACTATGAGATTTCGAAACCAGGTTGAAACTACAAGCCTTAAGCCCTAAATTCTAAACCTAAACTCTAAACCCTAAGCTCTAAACCCTGCAATGCCAAACCCTAAGCCCTAAACTCCAGCGCCTTGCAGTCACCGAGGTCGATCTCCGCTAGCGGCCACAAGTTCGGGAATTCTTGCTGCGGCACAGGTCTTTAGGGTTAGCCAGGGTAAGGCCACTAAGATCAGCTTCTAGGGGTTTTAGGGTTTAGGGGTT